AATCAGCAAGTTGCTCAACAGGACTATTTCTACATGTAGTTAGTCCAATTAGCACTTCCCCTCTCTGAAGCACTGATCTCAGGCTGTCTACATGCCCCGTGGTGCCACTTGAGAATTACCATCCTTTTGCTGCTGCAGTTGGTCATTGCACCAATGCCTTGCTGTCAAGTAAGTCACAGATCATAAACTTCTGTCTTATACACACCAATTCAGACCTCAGGAATCCCCTCAGGAACTCTTGTGAAGGACAGACATGAAAAGGCATGGGGTAGAAGGATAAAACGTGGTTCCATAATTCTTGACTAGTGAAACTGAGCAGTAGTCTTTTGTAGCTAAGCCTGCAGTACACATCAGATGCTTGCCGCACTTACCCTCAGTGGATAGCATCTAAATTAAGACAAAGTCCAGCACTTACTTTAACTATTAAAAGAGTAAAGCTTACTTCAGCAGGTGCTGGCTTACCTCAGGTGCAGCCACTCAGCCAGACCAGAATCTATTCAGGTGCAAGGTTCTATACCACTCAGGTAGTATTCCAAGCTTTAGCTGTTTGATTTCAGGTATTACTTTCAAGTGGTTGCACTATCAGGTTACCCTTCTCTATTATGCACTAGTAGTTGAAACTAACCTATTTGAAATTACCCTCTGGTAACACAGCAGTAACAAACAGCACCTCCTCCCAGCTGAGACTGCAGCTGATCTGCATGTGATTTCTCTGTCCTGTTCCTGACCATGTCTACTCTTCACCTAACACTGTGTGTTTGCTTTTTATCAAAAAATATAAGTTACCTTAAAATGACATCACAGTTTGGTAGATCAACTGCACAAATGTGAGAGTTACTAACTCAGTTTCAATTTGGCTCCCTTGGGTATTTTTTTCCACTATAATACACAATCTTTGTATCATGGTTACAAGCCATTCATGATGAGCAGCTTGCCTCATTCAATGCAGATGACGGCCTTGTAACAGGAATACAGACTGTAGAGACAATGCTGTTTAATACAGAATCATTTACAAAAACAAGTCCTAAGGTATTTATTAATTGTGTTCTTATTTTCTGTGTGGAACTCTTGGTATCTAAGGTCCAGTTGTATAGTTGAGCTAGAATACCTTCAAAGCTTGAAGGTACGCTCCAACAGTGATACACAAGACTGTATGCAAACTGATCAAACTTACGACAGTCTCAACTTTAAACTGGAAAAAACTAATCTCTGTAGTTCTCATAGGAGAGAAAATCAGAATAGTAGCTTTACTATTGACTCTCTGGAGTAATCACAGAACAAGTATTAATCATCTTTAATAACTCAAATATAAGGTCACAAACAACACAATTTAGGTTAAAAAAATATTTTACTAGTGAGTGAGCATCATTGGTCATGCGTTTTACTGGGACAGTGACAGTAGAAAACAGGGTGATACAATGATGAATTTATAACCACTATTTAGTGTTAACACAGAAATGACAAATGTAATGCTTTCCCAATATGAACACAGGCATTCAAAATTAGAAATGCCAGAGTTTATTTTTATTTATAACTAGCTTTCTGTCTTAAGAAGCAATGTAAACTTTCACTAGAACCACCTTTTTTTTTTCTTCTGCAAAAAGGTTAGAGCAACTCTATAAATCCCGCATTTATTTTTAGTCTTCGCAGCCTCCTGCGAAGACTACCTGACTTGAAGTCAGCATGCCCCTGGAAGCAGCAGATAGTGTGAATCAACCTGCATAATGGGTTCATTTGTGCAGCAAAATGTTAGTCCTCAAAAAAATGTCATCTTTGATATGGGAATCCTCTTAACAGTACCCAGTGTTATCACATCTGTTGCCCCATTTTCCCCTTCTGTCACTAACAGGTCTAATATTTTAAAGACTCTAAATCTGCAATATTTAGTGAATGGTCTCCTTGCTACTTGTCCACGAGTGATATTAATTAGGAATTTGAAATTAAAACCCCTTTTTTATTTCGTGCAGTTGATCAGTTTTCTATACATGCTATAAAACCTTTTTCACAGGTACTTGGGGACCAGTTTAAACCTACAGCTACATTTACAGCATACTGTGCCTGTAAAGGATGGAGTCTGCCTTTCTCCACAGCAGCCTGCATGATACTGTGTTCTGACTAAAATAGCACTGATAACACACCAGTGGTTTGGCTATTGCCAAACAGCACTTCCACAGCATCAGGACATTCTGTTTCTCACTCTGTCCCCACAGCAAGGAGGCTGGGGTGGGCAAGATGCTAGGAGGGTACATGGCCAGGACAGCTGACCTGAACAGAAGGATGCTCCCTAACATGTAACATGACACTCAGCAATAACAATGAGGAACAGTCTTTCTAAACGAGCTCAGGACAGGCATTGGTCTGCTGGTGCGATGTGGCAAGTGATTACCTTTGAATAATTTTTTTCATTTCTCCCATCATCTCTTCCCACTTTTAGAAGCGTAAAAACACATTTTCATAACATTACAAGAAACAACGTATTAAACTAAATGAGATTTATGAAGTTTTAAGTTTTCCACTGAGATTTAAACAGTTTGATTTTGGGGCCATGTTTTGTTCTTGTTCATGGGTGTGGGCACTGGGTTTTGGTTGGTTCTTTTAATATCCGTGTTTTCAGTCATTCATACCAGCATACCCACTTAATTGGCTGCACACCCATGAAATATCCAGAATATTTGTTATTATTGTCTTGAAACTGTAAAATTATATTAAAAAAAGATAAACACATCCTTCAGTCTCTCACCTGCTAAGTAAAAATGAGAGCATATTTATTTTTTCTGTTCTTTAGAAGGAAAAGAATTCAGAACAAAGTATAACCTTAAAGCTTACTGGTAAACATCTAGATAATAAGCACCTAACAACCACTTTCAAACTGAATAATATACTTCAGTTGAATCTCAAATAACAAAAATATAGGAACACCGGTTTTAAACAAACCTTACCTTTAGTTTCTTATTTAGTTTACAGCAGTATCTGTATAACATTGCCAAATTCAAAGGTCCGAAATCTCCATAGAAGCTGCGAGAAAAAGAACAAAAAAGCATTATTTGTATAAAAAAGCGCAAAGCCATTTTCAACATGTTGTTGACAGTTACAGCTGCAAATCAGTAACTTGGAGATAACTAGTAGCCAATACAGATGGTGGTGCACACAGTAAAATTACAATGAGAATGGACTATAACTTAAAACTGGTTTAATGTGCTCTGCCTTAAGTCTTTTGCTAAGAGACAGGACACTCTGCCTACTGACAAAACAGGCCATCAGCATCTAAATGCATGTTTTTGGGGGGAATGACAAAAGAAAAGGTAACTATGTTCTATACTTTTGGGCTTTGAAGCAGTGAAAACTTACTGACATGGGATGATAGAGTAGGTGGTAGTATTTTTCAAACTTTCTTCCCCAAGCAGAGGTTTTATTTTTCAGGAAAAATTAATTACATTCTAGCTTAGCATAAGAAAACTTAATTTGAGGACAATCAAACACTAGATAGAGGCTGCTTAAAGGCTCTGGAGTAACAACCCAATTGTACAAGATAGAACATCTGGCAATTGTTGACCTTGCTTTGAGCCTGGAGATTGGATTAGATGATCTGTGGAGGTGCATTCCAGCTTCAGCCATTCTGCTTTTCTTAGTGGACACAACAAAGTTGTATGAGTTGCAGAAGTGCCTTACCTTTTTGGTGTTTATGACCTTACCAACATCCTCCTCCCCACACTTTCTCAAAGAAAAAAAGCTAAGCTCAGTCCAAAAAGAGACAATCTATTGGTCTGATCACCATCTAGGATGAGTAGCCTGTTTGCCAAACCAATGTTATTTCAACATCACCTGCTTTACAATGTCAAATACAAACATAAATGTTTGCTAAGATTCAGTTCAACCCTCCAGCACAAAATAATATAACTTAATGCTTAATTACAGAAGCTCATTAGCTGGGTCAAAGACTAAGCTGTCCAGCTCTTAGGACTTTATTGGTAGGTTGCAAAGAGGTTAACTAATGCAAGGAGAAATTGCAGTGCAGTAAAGCAGGGGCTAACTTTAGAACTCCTCATCTTTTCTTAGGTAAGTCTGCCAGATATGGTCAACAGTTATTCTTAAAACAAAACTTTCAGCACAGTTTTTAAGAAATTAAAGTTCTAGGGACAAGTATGACAAATCAGAAGTTAAAACTGGTGTTCTAACAGCACTAGAGTGAACGTAACTTCTAGAAAAGCTACACAGGCGGCTTACTAACATCTCTTCCTATTCTGCTACACTAACACCTTCTATAAATAAAAAAAACCCCTACCTTGTTCCATTAACTTTAGAGTATTCTTTCACTTAAATATATGATGGAAGAGTAGAAATTAGCATTAAGATTATTTTGTTAAAAAAGTTTTATAAGTATTGTGAAAAAGTGTGGAATATGATAGTTACTATAATGCATTTTTATAAAGCAGTGTAAGCAAAGTGGCTTTTGATCAGCTCAAAGATACAACTGAATACACAGTTCACCTAAAGCACTGACAAACTAGAGACATGCCTTAGGACAGTAATATTTTATTATTATTCTTTTGCTATAAGTACCTCAATAAGAAGGTATATCCACTTTCCCTTTTCCATATTATTAAACTCAAAATTGTAGGAAAAGCACACTAAAATTTACACATCCAAAATAGACAAACTGATCACTATTTTGGTGGGGATAAGGATAAAAATACATATATTAAGTTTATCCATGAAGCAATTATATTTCTACAAAATAAAGCTATTCAGATTCTCTCAGCTGCCAAGCTAAAGATGTCACAAACTATTTCTCCATCACTTATTACCATTACCAGGACTTCCTGGATTGCCAGGACAAGATGGGCCACCAGGACAAGTATGCTGTGCTTCTCAACACAGTAGGGGAAAAAACTTTATCAGTGTTAAGACTCTGGTACTACCACTGTTTGCTTATGCTGCAAAAACAAAATACTTCTCAGAATTCAAACATAACCATAAAGGAAAGATAAAAGGATAGAAAGGCACTTTTGGACACTGTTGCAGAAGCACTACCCATGCAGCAAACACTGGCAGCTCCCAACTGATTTACTAACACCACATAGGCTGTATAAACCAGCCATTGGCTTGGTTGCCAAGACACTGTAGTAGATATATGAGGGAGAAAAAATTATTTATGCAACAAATAACCTAACCTTCTCCACTTAATACCTCTAAACTGGGACAAACCTGAATGTCCTTTTTTTAATGGAGCTAAGTGAAACAAGGACTTCATAAACCTTCAAATCAGAGTTACCTGAAAGATAATAAAAGGCTCTGTACTGAAGCAAATAAACTCTGATCTACAAAATCTTTCTTCACTGTATATTCTTAGAACTAAATACAGTGTCCATCATGTTAAAACCGAAGGGTTTCATCTTATGCACCCTCATTATTTTTAGTATAACAGGCCATATTTGTACTTTAGAATTAGAGACACTTGAACCTTACTAACCCAGAGTGTTTTCTCCTTAAGAACAGAATTTTGACAGAGTGGAAGATTGGAAATGAGGGGAACAGGGAAGAAATGACACACCAAGTCATTGTGTGAAAAAAAACCCAAAACATTTATCTGGCAAAAGTTGACTATAAAAATGTAAAAGAAATCAAATCTTATTACATGGTAGTCACTGATAATCTACCCTGTATTATTTGACTTCCATCTCTTCTACAGATAATAGATTTGCTTTGTATCTAGATGTTTTAATAAGCATTTATGCACAATAAGAAATGCCTCTGAAGCTTAAGCCAGTTAAGAGAGACAGTCATTTACAATAAAGGTAGGAACTAGATACAAGGAAGTATCTGGCAAATATGGTATTAATCTACATTTAATTATATTTTGTTTTAATCAAGTACTTACATGATAGCTTAAATTATTCTTCCCCCTCATCCCATGGAAGCTTGCTATCCTTATGCTTCTCAAACTAAGAAGCAGCAAAACCCCAGAATATACTAGATGAATATTTAAATACTCTACTTCAAAAATACTATCAAAATGCTACTTGGAAGCAGTAGCATAGGTTTCTTATATTTGTATTCTCCTTAGGATAGACTCCTGGAACCACTTCTTCCTTACAGTATAAGATCTCACGTATTTGCTGTATTGAGTAACAGCAATGGTCACGCACCTACAGAGGCCAGCCCACAGAGAGCTCGTTGGTCTACTCTGTCTTCAAAGCAGGTACATACATTTTTCCATGGAATTTAACAGTGAGAAATTTAGTCCACAATCCTTTAGGACAGCAACTCAAGTTGCTTCTGACTGCAGTTCCATGGGATGCCATGTGAAGGTGCCATGAATCAGGTCAAGCTGAATGCTTTAGTCACTTTTCACTAAGCATTTGAGTACTATTGACACTATTACTGCAGAAAAAACATAAACAGCTTTTGTATCTTGAACTACTGGATGAAGCCTTGTTATGGTCAATAAAGGAATATCCTAACCTGGCAAACTCTGAAATTAATTTATAACCTCCATATTAAAATCAGAATCAATTTATAGCTAAGGTCTTGACTTATCTCTTAAAAATAAATTGCACTACTTATATTTTTCCCCAGAAACTTGATACATTTCCCCCATAAATGAATACACCAGAGCAGTAGTTTCATAGTACCATTCACTTACAACTTGGTGACACAGCAACAGGGTATGGATTAAAGGATAGCACATTCCTACCTGAAAAGTTATTTCAGGGTTCTTGTCTTCATGACAAACCAGTGTAAGTTCAGTGGCTTTGGTACACTGAACATAAGGGTATGCATGCATTCCTACCAGGTTGTAGGCCTTTCCACTACAAGATTAACCAGAAGAACTTCAGAAACTAGCAGGAATACAAATTCCTAACTCCAAAATTACATCAATTTTTCAGCATTTTACAAAGATTCAGCTTATTATTAAAACTAAGCAGTGAGACCAAATTACACTTTGGTAAGAAAAACATTCTCCACTTGCTTTTCTCTCCTCTTTTCCTAGGCTGGATTACTGCAACATCCAGATCCCTGCACTGCAAGGTCCTTGCTGCATGTGCTCTGAATCTAGCCATTAAGCAGCACAAGAACCAGCTACTGGCAAAGTGGCCAGATTGCTTCTAGACAAGAAATGCTTCAAAACAACGCCTCATGCAAAAGGATCTCTGGATGTAACTGGATCCAAGAGAATGAGTCCACACATCCATTACAACCTAACTGCTGGTCAGGAAATCTCACTTATTCCTTTTTATTTCTCCAACTCTTGTTTGCTATAATGTTCCTACTTCTCAAGTGCATGAATAAAGGTGGGATGCTCAATGACATCTCGTCTCTCTGCTCTAGCCCCACCAATTCCAGTAACACGTGACTTACCAGAAGCTCTCTTATCTGGGCTGAGCCACAATCCCTAACACTTAATACTACTTACGAATTGCACACTTCTGAATAGACTTAAGATGATACAGCAAATATAACCCTAGAAATTACATACCACCTCATTGCTAGCACCTGAAAGTTGGAATAATGCAGAGGTTCTGAACTGTGCAAAACATCAGGCACTCACTCCCATTTTCCCCTTCAACATTCTAAATCATCCTCAAGATCCTGATTCTTCAAAATCTAACAATAACTCATAGATCCAAATTACAGATTATTAAATAGCTATTCCAGTTATATGCATTTTTACACAGTACTCCTTACGCTTCAAGAAAAAAAGTGAAAAGTTTCTCCAGTTAAGACCTTCCCTATAGAAGGTTAAAAAACTCCCTAGGGAAACAACAGTCATCTTAACAGAGGCCAGGTTTCTCATAAGGAGTTACCTATATCCAACTACATTCCCATTCAATATAAAACTGTAGCCTAGAAAACAGATCTGTTTTATTCTGTTACTCTTCTACTGCAAGGAAAGACATCCTCAATACTTTTGGCAATTGCTTTTATCTTTTCAATACAAAGAAGTGAACAGCTATGGCAGAGCAACGTGAGTATAAAACTTAATAAACTATTGGACTGCAGAGAACACCACAGGTGTTAAGAGATAGCATTTTACAAGTTTCAAGTATAAAATTATGCAAGCAGTTTGTGTTTGAAGGGAAAGTTGATACTCCCTGTTCCTACATCATCTGATTTTCTTATTTGCAGTGAATTTAAAATCCCTCATTTTAAGATAGAAAAAAAATAGAACTCAAGTAGTATTCTCAATAGTCACACCTAAGAGTTAGACAAAAAATCTGTTACTAGCATATAAAGTTTTTCTGCTCAGTATATACATTCACATTGATATAAGCTAGGAGTTGGGAAATATCCTTTTTTGTGGACTTTAGCTTCCTAAGTTATCTTGGTCATCTGATAGTCAAGTTCAAGTCTTCAAAAGCTAATGACATGAACAAGGAACTCCCTGTTCTCAGTGTGAAGTGACAGCTCTGTTTGCTGTAGCAAGGCTAAGTTTAAGTTTTCTTTTTCCCTTCAAATGACAGAAGCCACAGAATGACAGAAGTTCAGGTTTCCTATGCAAGTACTGTTACTGGGTAGCCACAGAAAAAAGCATTTAGCCAAACTAAAAATTAACAATTTAACACTTACTCTTTTCATGGAAAAAACGCTTTGTTGCATACATGCATGCAGTGAAGGAAAAAAGTCCTCCAACTCAAACAGTACTCATTTAATCCTGTTGTAGCTAAGCATTTCAGAGTCTTATTCTACTGCTGCTTGAACTCAAGGAAGCAGCTAACATTAAGAGTGCTGTGAAATGAGCAAATAATATGGCTTGAAAGAAAATTTTAGTGTAAAACATGGAATGTACAGAGAATTTACTATTAATTACTTTTACAGCTACTCAGAAGATGCCAGTCTAGATCTGCAAAAACTGTTTATACCAGAGTCAAAGACAGAACAAATGACTGAATAAAAACATTTTGGTTTATGAAAGCTGCCATTATAATTTATCAGTAAGAGATTCCTGGTTTTCATTATCCAAATTTTAATTTTAAGAAAACTTCAACAATAAAAAGGACATTAAAAGTTGCTTTGATAAAAATATGTGAAAGCCAAGTTAACCAGTCAAGTGTAGTATTTTCAACCCAGATCTGTTTACTGAAAGGTGAAACATGAAAGATGCTATTCTTAGAGAATAAAAAGCTTCTTACTAGTGCCTAACTCATTAATTGAGGTCTTGCCAAGGCAAGGCTTGTCTGTTTGCCAAATGACAGTCTTTGTCAAGCTGGATTATTTCTCATGAACTCCATTTTCCTGAAGTAATAGTTACCTGCACTATATTACCCTGAAGGATTATTTTCTGTTAAAAGCAGCGGTGAAGACTTTTTCAGGAGGGACCTCAGTGTTTCAGAAAGAGACTGACAAAAACTTACAGAAACAGATCAAAGAAAGATAATTCAGAATTTGATAAATTCATTCAGGTTTCTTGTTCCCTCATCTGAGGAACTGACATACCATTTCCCTAGTATTAATAGGTTCAAGGTGAAATTGCAGCACTTTTAGCTAAAATAGCAACGGTTCTAGTAGCAAGTTCCTAGTCAACTAGCATTTTAGATGTTCTTAAAAACATTTAAGTCTATCTTTATTATTTTTAAAAATGTGAATGTTTAATTAAGTGAAGACAGTGTTATGAATTCATTAGAACAGTTGGCAACTTCAAGTGAAAATCTAAGGATAAAGTACTCAAGATTACATAACCATGCTGTGAACAATTTAGTGATAAATCACATGACAGACTGCAGGAATAAGTCAGCATTTATCAGATGAAAACTTCCAAACCCATCAGATCTAGCACTACAGATGTTTTGTTTAATAAATGGGGTGTCCTATTAACGTACACTATTACTTCCCTGTCTCTCCAAGAGTAGAGGAAAAAAAAGGGCAGAAAAGCAGTGACGTTTTAAATATTCATAGGTTTTCAGATCATATATTGCTTCAGTAAAAGCAAATTGACACCTCAGTAAAGTCAGCTAAACAGATTTCTGTAACACTCCCATATAAGAGTTATCGCTAAAGTTAGTGAAACAGCCCAAAGAAAAGCAGATTACTTCTTGCACAATGAAGTGTCTTTGTCTTGTGACTAGAATGATGCATCTAAACCAAAACAATAACAGTTGTACTAACAAAATTACATACCTCATAGGTGCTGAAGATTTTGTGCTTGAGCAGACATATCCTATCCTCCTCCTTCTAACAAAATGAACTACTAATTTTATGAAAAAGCAGAAGCAGCCATGAAATTCTGATCAGCAAGATCACAAGCAGGCCATCTTGACTGAAGACTCTAAAAAACACTGTTCTGAGCTATAGCACTTCAAAACTCACTTCCCAATGTTTATTTTGCTATCATGTAACAAATATTTCTAATCACTTTCTCAGAAAGAAGGCTGCATTTTTGAGAAAATGAGCAGAAGATCCAGTCTGGTATATTAAAGTTACACTCTGCTGCTACCTACAGACAACCCCTGATGTCAGGCCCCCGCCACTTTGCTGTGCAGTCTGTGAAACAACAAATTGGTATCGAGCTTGCTGGTGAGCAGAAGGAAAAGTGAACTACAGCAGAACCAATATTTCTCCAAGTACCAAAAGACTTGCATTCTATACCTCACTTTGCATCTAGCTTTTCAATTTCAGAAAGATACTGAAAAAAATATAATAGTACCCCTACTGACACCTACTTTTACTTCTCCGAGACAATAAAAGAGGGCAAAAAGAGAAACAAAGTCAGGTACAGTTATACTACCATACCTTGAAAGTGATGGGTGCTGCAATACAAGTATCAGGGGAAAGTTTAGCACTGTTATGTAAAGAAGTTAGGTTACTACACAAAATTCATTCATACCACGTGGTAAGGTCACTTAATCTCTATGTCGTATTACGTTCTAGTATTTTAATTTGAGAACACAAAAAAAGAGAGTACCATTATGGTACAAATAAAGGATTAAATCTTTAAAGAAGACCAAGTGGATTAGGAACTATCAAATCAGAAAATACACCATGAGTTACATGTCCAAAATCTGTGCCCTAGAAGATAATGGTAACTTTGCTTCCTCCCATTATCTTGTAATTACATCTGATGTCAAGTTACACCCTGGTATGTAGTTAACAGGTAATTGGGTTAAGGAGTATACTTGCTGGATTTCCTTTGTACATGTTCAAGAAAAGTAGTTTTTTTCAAATGTGATACTGACCTCACACTAAACACCCCAGTCACAGTCCCTGGTTAGTACAGTAACAGAGTACAGAACTGCTCCCCCTTTCCGCCCCCAGGATCAAATCCCACATAAGATCCCTTCACCCTTCCTAGACACATATTAAGGATTAAAACTAAAATATCTCCGGTCAAGAGTAATACAGAAGTCTTAGAACAAGATCACTTTATTTCATTAAAAAAGGTGGGACATATTCATATATCACAAATTGGCCAGGACTTTATCCAGCTGAAGACTGCTTTTACCAACTTTTCCTAAGAGTACTCCTGAGGTCCTTTCCAACATAAATTAGTGATCATTACAGAATCTATCCCAAGCTAAAAAGTTCATTACAAAATTCAGCACTGGGTACTCCAGTAGCATAGACATACAGGTTAACATAATGAAGACTCAGAAACATGTAGAAAATAAACCCTAAAGTGGTAAGCTGTGCATAAGAAGAAGCTAGACACCAAAGACTGGTTTATACCTTCACAGAAGTACCACTGAAGTCAATGGAGAGGGGAATGAAGAATGGTTGATGTTCAGAAGTTGTTCAACTCGGAAAGTAAGCTATATTTATAATACAACCACAGTTTCTGTTTCATTTGTACTGCAGCACACACTTTTTCAAGTAACTAGATGTATCATCACATCTGAAAGTGGGAACACAGTGTAGAGCAACTACTTTTTAACCACAGAATAGAGATTACTTTATTTATTTAGTGTATTTTATGTCCTTTAACAGTATCCATAACTATAATCGATTTTACTGTTGATCTTTTATGTGTCCTTCCAAACACACTACGTGTTTATTTCACACAGAACATTTTCTGCTGTTCTACAGCTACAGAAGCCAACAGGAAGTGCTATCTCAAAATGTTCTGCAGACTTAAAAAAAGTTGTATATGTTCTTTAAAAGCACATATAAAGCTTTGCATTCTGAGGATTCTGTATAAAAGGTGATCACTTCATACTCCTATGCAAGAAAATACATACAAAGCAAACTATTGTTTCATCTATTCATACCAAGCAACAGTCTTCTATTTAAGACACCATTTAGTAAGACGTAATTAGTCTAAAGAGATCTTCTCCACCTTATAAACAAATCTTAGCTCCTTCCCCTAGCTCAACTACAATTTAAGGCATTTAACAGCTGTTTTTGTTTTATATAACTGCAATCTTGTTAAACTAGTTTCAGCTAAGGTATAAATGTATCCTAACTTTGTACCCATAAGCTATCTTTGTACCCATGCCTTGTGCAAGTAACTATCCGGGGCAAAAATATTCTGTTTAGCATTCAAGTGTGCTGGGAAGAATCTCAAGTGATCACCTGGAATATGCAAAACACAACAGATCAAAAGACTTACTTTTCATAAACCAGTTCCTCATCAGTACAGAAATAGTGGGTATTCACGGTACTTTTCGGTTTATTTCGTAAAGTAGCGAAGTACAACCGATCTGAAAGAAAGACGGTGACAACAGCGCCGGTCGACAGAGCAAATCGCCACTGCCCCTCGCCCCGCTCGTCCCCCCGCGGCGTCCGGGAGCGGAAGAGGCACCGCGGACCTTTTTTCTCCTGCGTGAGCGGTGGCGGGAGCGCCGGTCTCCGCTCCGCCCGCGGGCCCTGCCCACCAGGACCCCCCCCGCCCCGCTCTGACCGGCTGGGCGCCCCTCGGGAGAGAGCTAAGGAGGATCGGGGTGATTTCTGACCCAGAACACAGCAGCACATAGCAACAGGTGCCGGGCCCGCTTCTTACCGGAAAAGAGAGGAGGAAGGAACCGCTTAGGCGTGCCCCGCAGCAGCCGAGGGGCAGACAGATCGCGAAAGCCGCAAGGCAAAAGGGGCAGAAGCCGAGCAGAGCACGCAGCAAAGCCCGGGGAGGGAAGCAGGGAGGGCAGGAAAGAACCCAGCGGTTTCCTTTTTGGAGGAGACTCTGGCGAGGAAGACCCCCGTGGTCAGGGGTCGGGGAGCGCTCCCCGGCCCGTTCTCACCTTTTAGGAACTCCGAGGCTCCCACCAGCACTTCGGAGGCGGCTGCTGCCGGCTCCATCTTAAACAAGGCACGGAGCAGCGAAGTGCGGGGTGGCTCCGC